GAACGAACGTAGGGCTTGCGTGGGTACTTTGAGACGGGCGGAAACACCTCGTTCGCAGCTTCCCTGATCTGCTGAGTAACTAAAGCATAGTGGGAGTTGACATCCCCCCCCCCAAGGAACGAGGGGGACGTCCAGCAACTTGGCAGCAAACTGAGCCTGTCGGGCGGGATCCAACAACGCACTTCTGTCAAGCCTGTTAGCAACTCCTGGAACGAACCGCGAGGTCCAAGACAGGTCGACGAAAACAGGCCAATGGTCCTCGGCAGCGACCAGGAAGTCCCAGTCATGCCAAACCCCGTGATTTTTGACGCACGGAGTAAGACGTGGGGAAGTCAAAACATAGTCCAGCCTGTGAGGGGAGCCATTGTTGGCGGTCCAGGTGTGACACTCCGTGGATCCAGGGAAGAGGGTAGTCGGCGCGTCCAACCCCGAACAGGCCAGGAAATCCATCAGGAAAGCGCCCCCCCATCGACATCTTGGGGGGAACCATGGCCCCCCACTCCAATTCCGTCAACGATTTGATTACCAGCGCGACCGTTGGCATCGGCCAAGATAATTTCCGCCTTCCACTTGGAGGTGAGAGCAAGGGCTTCTTCCCACCATTCCGTCCTTGAGTTGAAATCCGTGTCGTTGTGATGAGCATGGTGGACAGCGATGGTGCGCCTAAAGGCCGGGGCGCCGACCTTGACAAAGAGCCGCCGAGGATCGGCATGGACCACATAGAAGTGGCGCTTCTCAAACACGAGAGGAACACCATCTCGAAAACCGTAAGGATTCTGAAGCGACGCCCAGAGGTCGACCCCCAGGTTCCCGTCGGACCCTCCAGAGCTGGAGGCAACAAAAGTCCCAGCGGTCCGAACTCCCGAGTTGGTACGGGCTTCCTGGATCCCCGCAAGAGTAACCTCCATGAGGTCAAGTTGAGTGCGGAGCAACTCAGCCTTGGCTCTCCCTTCCGCGAAACGCTGGGCGCGGTCATCTTCATCGCTGTGGCGCAGAGTGAGAGCGTTGTACAAAACCAAGCGGACATTGAGCTCGGCTTCAACTTTAGGGGGGGGGGGGGGGGGGGGGGGGGGCGGGAAGTGGCCGAGGCGGCGGGGTCGGGGTGGCACGCAGCCAAGGCGGCACAAGTAGCATGGGGGTGAGAGGGGTTGCGCCAGAAACCCCGGCTGTTTGGGAAGCACCCCGAACCGAGGGGGGGGCCCGCCTCAACCAGTCCCAGTCGGCGCAACTGGGGTCGGCCAAAACTCCCATTAACGACGCAGGCGGGGTCAAGAAGTCCCCCCGAGACGCTCGTTTGGCCAGGCTGTCACGCAGCTCATTCCATGGGTGACCACAATGCCCTGGGACGTGACACAACTGAACTTCGAACTGGGTCCTGACCGAAAGGTAAATCGCGTGCGCGGCGCTACTTAGCACCTGCGCCGAAGAAGCAGAGGAAACCTCCAGAGCCGCGTCAAAGGCGGCTAAGCAGCCCGAGTAAATGATCATTTTACCTTCGACGCCCGTGGACACAGCCCGAGCCAGGCACCAGACGATCCCGACAAGTTCGGCGATGATGGCAGTGCCAGGGGTAGAAAGCCCGGGGAAGGACAGCATGGCCTTAGACCAAAAGGCCCCGCCGAAACCAAAACTGCCATCATCGTTGGCTAACACGTGGGCCATGGCCCATCCAGGGCCCGCGGGGTCCGAGGAGAAAAACGAACCATCGACAAAGAGATAGTTCGTAGAAGCCGGGCCGCTCTGCACAGGCACAACATCCTATGTTGTGGCAGCGACGGGGTGGATGTCGTCGCGGTTTCCCAAGTCGTAGAGTAACTGAAACCCACCGGTCACCGTGAGACCTTCCAAAATCGACCGCCGTAACTTCGCATTACACTGCGCGGCGCCCTTTTTTGCAGCAGCGCACGGCCCCGGTGCATCAGCGAGTGAGATAGGAATGCTAAGGCCCCCTCCCCCCCCAAGCGAGCCCCGAGCTGGGGGGGCGCCCCGGCCCCCGCGCCAGCGGCGTGGGAGGAGGAGCGGAAGAAGGGTGGCGAGGCTTCTTCGGCATGCCGCGCGTGAGACTGCTTCCCCAAGCGGTCGTGACGCACCAATTCTGAGGCAGAAGCAGGATGTTCAAACAAGCCTTGCCTCCACTCGCCGCCAAGGAAATTCGAGGCGGGGTCCGTGGAGGGAGGCCTATCGGGATCTTGGGAGCGTCCATGGAGAGAAGAAGGAGGAGGACCAAGCCTGGAGGACGGGAGGGATGGGGACACTCCCAATGGACCCCGTGCAGCTATCAAGTGAGCTGTCTTCCTCCCTGCAGGCAGCACTAACCCCCTCAGCCCCCCTCGAAGCCATGAGGTCGCGCCCGCTATCGTTGGCTCCGCGGGGGGGCGAAGCGACAATATGTGCAGATTCAGCATGGGCTGCTGCTGTTCCCGAGGGACCCCTAGGGTATGAGACGGGGTCGAGACCGAAGGACGGAAGAGGGTGAAAGGAGGGGCCACGCCCAGGGGGCCCTGGACAGCATGCGCGGCAGTGGCTGTCGAGGCAAGGCGCAGAGGACGCCGGTGAACAGAACATAGCGCCAGAAAGAGCCTTCGCACAGAGGCGCTGGCACTCAGGAAGGCCCAGGCGAAGAACACCACGAGGTTGAACAGCTGCTGGCACTGGCTCTTGGCCGCCCCCAGGAGCCGCGGAAGGAGAACTTGTAGGCGCCTTCAATCCTCCTGAGACGTAGAATCCAAGCCACACTCCAAGATGGCTCTGGTATAGGCTTGGTGGCTCATTGGTGGCGCACGGCTGCGTGGTCTGGCTGCCTCCGATGCTGAGCGACGGCTGCTGAACCTCTCTGCGCTCCTCGATCTCGGACGGCCGAAGGACGGCGACCTCCGATCGCGGGCGGGCGAAGGGACCTCGGCCGCGGGCTCCTCTTTCGGCTTGACCCTCGGAGATGAACGCACCGACTCTGGGGGAGCAGGGGCCCCCGTCGGTGCAGCGCGGTTGGCCATGACCTCCATCATGATTTTGCGCATGTGCTCGGACAGCGTCGCGATCTCCTCCTTCACTGGCGACGCTTGCTTCTCGACCCCCCCCCCTTGCATCTGGGAGACTGTCGGCGACCTTGGTGATGCGGCACTTGCTTTGGCTGTCGTTGGTGCTGACAGAGGCGGGGGCGCTGGCACGCTCGGCTGGCCGCCGCCATCGCTGCCCTCGGGGCCGCGGCCGTTGTGGCCGAGCCCGCTGCTGGGGGTGGCTGTGCCACCGAGGCCCCCGCGAGCTCCTCCTCCGTGCCAGCCTCTGTGGACTCGCGCTCGTCCTCTAGCGCCTCCGTGAGCTGAACCTTCGTGATCTTGAGCGCCTTTACCTGGTCCACCACCCGCTCGAAATTCACCTTCAACGAGTCGGCCTCCATCTGCTTTTCCTCCCACTGCTTGCGGGCCGACTCTCCACGTGCTGTCGTGGGCGTCAGACTGCCTTCCACCATGGTAAGTTGGACCTCGAAAAGCAAGTGGGCGATCAAGCACCGTCGTAGAACGCTGAGATGATGAGCGCACTCTGACGTGTCCATCTTCTGTGCCCAGAGCAACTGATGCTGATTCCCGTACAGGGCAATATTCTGGCGAACGTCCTTGAGATACTCCTTCTTGGCCTCCTCTGAGCTGCCTGGTTGCAGCGGCTTGAAATGATCCGACAGGGCTGCTTCCGACGGAGTAGCCATTCGAACATACGGCGCGGCGTCGGACTTGGCGGCCTTGGGAGCCCAGGGGGGGCCGCTCCAGGACGGCGAGGGGACGCCCCCCTCCTCGGCGATGCCCTTGAAGAAGCTTCCTGCCTTGGACTGCGGCCACGCCAGCCCTGCCGCCAGTGCAATCCACAACCCCTGCAATGCGCAATGGCGGCGGCGTTGTGGATACCGCATGAGCATTGCCACCTTGGCATAGCACTTCCAGCTGACCGTTGAGCGCTGTGATGAGCACCGAGTAGTTCAGCAGCACGACCCAGCCTCACCAGAAGGCGAGCGCACGCACGCTCGCGTCGAAGGCGCCTGTGCCAAGTGGGCTCGGGCTGCCGAGCCTGAGAATGAGAGGACGTGGTGGAGGCGAATCCTCTCACACTGGTAGAAAGAAACGCGGCTGAGGTTACGGTGTCCTCAACACGCGTAAGGCCAGAACTCCTGCGGGCCTCCCCAGGCACACTCAAGCCCCAATGGCCTTCTCCCCCTCTTCCCCCTCCTCCTCTCCTCCTCCTCCTCCTCCCCCTCCTCCTCCTCCTCCTCCTCCTCTTCCTCCTCCTCCTCCCCCTCCTCCTTCTCTCCTCCTCCTCCTTCCCCATCCTCCCCCTCCTCCCCCTCCTCCCCCCTCCCCTCCTCCCCCCCCCCATCCTCCTCCTCCTTCCTCCTCCTCCTCCTCCTCCTCCCTCTTCCTCCTCCTCCTCCTCATCCTCCTCATCCTCCCCCTCCTCCCCCTCCTCCCCCTCCTCCCCCTCCTTCCCCCTCCCCTCCCACCCTCCTCCTCCTCCTCCTCCTCCTCCTCCTCCTCCTCTCGGTCCTCCTACTCGTCCTCCTCCTCGTCCTCCCTCACCTCGCCTCCTCCTTCGTGCGTCCTCCCTTCGTCCTCCTCCTCGTCCTCTCCTTCGTCATCCTCCTCCTCCCCTCCTCCTCCTCATCCCCCTCCTCCTCCTTCCTCCTCCCCCTCCTTCCTCCTCCTCCCCCTCCTCCTCCTCCCTCCTCCTCCTCCTCAGCCCCTTGCCCAGGCCGCCGCGTGCACAGGGCCGCCCCCGCTTTTTGGAGGTCACCCCTTCCCGCACAGAGCCTGGGGGGGCTCACACCGAGCTTCACACTCACACACTCTTCGGTTACTACCATGTGGAACTCTCTTCTGAGTTTCGTACTGTTTAACCCGCTGCATTTGGTGGATCCTTGGAGAACAGATGACATCTCCGAGACGCTACGATTTGCAGATATCATCGTGTGCCCAGCGACGACCCAGCGACAGAAGTTGAAGCAGCCAGTCACCATGCGTCGGGCAAAGTACCACACAGCGTACGAGTTCGGCTGGGAACGAGGCAGATATACCAACAAGTCAGCGGGGTGCACCGTCCTGCTCCGCTCTCGCGTCTTCAGACGGTGCCACGTGGTCGACATCCGTCATCCACCTGGAGAGCTGGCTGGCCGTGGTGGGTTGGTGAGAGTACGGTCTGGAGTTTTCGACATCGCCATCATTGCAGCTTACTTTCCACCACAGAGCAACATGACGGCCGACCATTGGAGGCAATGCTGCCGCAAGTTAGCTGGTTGGATGCACAAGTCGGTGCAGGAGGCCAAGCAGAGGTCGCTCGTCATCGTCGGCGCGGACTGCAACTGCGGGTTCGGCCTCCGTCGCACAGGGCACGGTATAGCGACGACGACGGTGGGCCACCAGCACATCGGCCAGTACGGCAACCACTTCGAGAATGAGGTCCCCCTGGAGCTGTGGAGGCTCCTGGAGATGGAGAACATGGCGGCGGTGGACACCTTCCACCCAGTCGGCCCCACGTACTTCGGCACCCAGTCGCAGAGCTCGCCTGACCACATCTTTGTCCCGTCGGAGGCGGTCTCGTCCACTGTACGGTGCTGCGCGTTGCGCAATGCCATGCGTGACCTCCAGGCGATTCCAGATTGTCGTCCGCGTGATCATGCACCTCTCCTGTGGCAAGTGCGGTACACCTTGCAGGCGCCACCTGGACCCAAAGGAGGACCTGTGTGGGACAAGGACCTCGTCGTTCGCCTCCTCCGACACGATGGCTTTGGAGCTGAGGTTCTGGGGGAGCTCGAGCGTCGGTCAGCCTCGCACCCGAGGGAGTGGGAGCGTGACACGACTCGCGCTGATCCCAGTCACTCGTGGGAGAAGCTGGTGGAGGACGTGCGTGCTGCAGCGCTTCCCGAGCTTGCGAGGACGGCGAAGCACGGCCCGCTGGCCCCGCACCTCGCGGCGCGGGCCGAGGCCCTCCAGCGGCGCAGGCTGGCCAGAAGGGGCTGCTTCACCGAGGAGCAGCGTCACCAGCTTCGGACCATCGAGAAGGACATCAAGCTGCTCAAGAAGCGGCTAGACCTCGAGCACGTGGAGGAACTGCTGACTGAGGCGGAGACCCACCGATACGCGGCCGACTACCACGGAGTATGGAAGCTCATCTATGCCATCGGGGCTCGCTGCCGTGGACCCCGACAGCGGTCTTTCAACGTCCCTGACCAGTACCGACCTTCACTGGAAGAGTGGGCGTCCACAATGTGCTCGAACGCTCGGGAGGGTGGCTTCAGCGCAACAGTGATTGACGACCCGATGCAGCCCACTCGGGAGGCCATGGAGGAGTTAGAAGAGGAGGGTTTGGACTACTTCCCTGGGGCTGCACCGGCGTCGCTCGCGTATGATGACTGGTTTCGCACTCTGAGGCAACTGCAGAGTGCTGCCCGCAGACGTTTTTCACCTGCGCACTCGGCCCCCGCAGAACTCTGGCGCTGGCTCATGGAGCATGCCACGAGAGAGATGACGGGATCCTGGCCAGGCTCAGAGTTGCTTTCGGAACGTCAGTTGCAACGACTTGAACGGCGACTGCACGTGCCGTGCCCGCACTTCCTGGACCGACTTAGGCGCATTCTTCGGCAGATTCGCTCCAAATCACGGACGCCTGGGCAGTGGCACTGGAGTACGACCTTTCAGCTCTCAAAGGGGAACACCAAGAAGGGGACAAAAGCCATGAGATTGATCCATTGCTACTGCCCGTTCGCGAAGGCCTGGTATCGTGGACTCTATCTTAGGTCAGCACATCCTCCTCTTCCTCCCCATGCACACGGGTATGCAGCACATCGATGTAGACAGAACGCACAGATTGCAGCACAAGTTCACAGTTGGAGGCTTCGGAAACTTGGGATCTCTCACCTCCTAGTTAAGAAGGACATGTCGAACGCCTTCCCCTCCACCTCGCACTCGGAGCTTGCCCGCACAGTGATGTCCGTGGTGCCTTTTCCACAAGATCGAGCGTTCTTGCTCCAGAGGCATGAGGAGGCGGTGATGGAGATCAGGGCGGGGGAGCAGGTCGGGTACTTCCAACCGAAGCATGGGACAGGGATGGGGGACGGCAATGCCTGCGAGCTCTTTGTGCGCAGTTTCTTGAGGCCCGTCGAGGCCTGGCGAGATGAGCTGGGCGCCGACGAGGCCACTGTCTTCTGCAGTAAGTTGAACGCCCAGGTTCCGCTCCACAGAGCCTCGTGTGTCATGACGTGCAGTCTGACTAATGAGATGCATGGCGTGTCGGTTCGAGACTACGCCGACGACATTCACCAAACGATCCCACTCGCCACTTCGAATCCGCTCGAGGCCAGGTCCAGGGTCCCGAAGTCCAATGCCATCCTCGATCGGGAGCTGTCCATCGGAGGAGGGTTCGCCCAGAACCCTGATAAGGAGAACTGCATGCCTGTCATGGTGGGCCCTGGTGCCCACACCGCGTCCCGTGCCCTCCTGTCTCAGACGGTTCCGCTTCCTGGGGTCACGTCGTCGGAGGGCCTGTACTTGGGAGGGATGGAACAGCTGACGGCGGGGTGTGGAGCTGAGATGAAGAGGAGGGTGGAGGCTACGAGGGCGGCGTGGGGGAGGCTCGGCAGGTTCTGGGACATCACTCGGTCGATTCGCCTCAAACGACTGGCCTTCAAGGGAACGATCCTGGCGGCGGCCTACTCGGGCCTCGAATCGTACCTCCCCTCCAAGCTCGACCTCAGGAAACTCGATTCCGTCGTGCTGGGCTTCGCTCGGGTTGTGCTCCGTGATCGTCGTCCTGAATTTGAGCAAGGCGCCCCTCCTGGTTCCTGCCCGAAGTATCGATCTCTCTCAGAGGCCCAGGTGTTGAGGCAACTCAGGATTACAGACTCAAGAGCAGAGCTTCTTGTGCGCCGTCTCAGACAGTGGCAACGCTTCGCTCGTTACCCCGAAGACAGTGCGCAGCCGCTCACCGTGCTTTTTGGCAGCCTCGACGGCCTCGGAGAGGAGCCGACCTTCAGAGAGGACGGCCGAGTCGCTAGCACCGCCAACCCGTGGGCCCTCCAATTGGAGCGAGATGTACAGGCGCTACGGTACCTTCGCGGTGGTAAAGAGTTCGCGGAAAACTATACTGTTCGCGATATCTTTACGAGGTCGGTCGTCGCTAATAAGTTCCTCAGCTTTGATCCCCGATTGCTCCGAGAGGTTCCAGAGCTCCGTGGACCCCCTCGTGGAGCCCAAGGTCCCAGTGCTGGCGCCCCAGAGGATCCTGATGAGTTTGTTTGCGAACTACCTGGAGATGGGGAGGATGGGAGGTGTGGGATGGTTTTCTACAGTAAGGGGGCCCTTGTGGCCCATCAGTGCCATCATCCCAGTCACAAACATCGTGTTCCAGCGCACATGCTCGTGATCACCAATCAGTGCTTGTATTGCATGTCCACCTTCAAGAGCCAGGTCACTGCCCGACGACACGTGGTGCAATCGCTGAAATGTGGCAGGTGTCTTTGCGACCAGAGCCCTTATGCCCCACCTGTTCAGGAACCTGAGGACCTCTTCTGCCCCATTTGCCAGGACCTCGATGCTGCGTTCGGTGCCTTTGTCGAGTGTATGCCACCAGGCTCGAGACACCTTGACCAGTTTCAGTCGCTTGCCGAACTTCAGCGACACATTCGTGACGTCCACGCCCCGCCGCCAGATCTAGTATCGACCGAGTGGGATGGACCTGGCAACCCGTGCTTTGAGCCAAGGCGCAGAAGAACGAGAGAGTGCGCTGAGGTCCCGCAGCGGAGACCGAGGCAGAGGCGCACGGCGGGGACCTCGGGGACCCCCGCCCCGCGCCTCAGCAGGGGGAGGCTCACCGCCAGCGGTCCGTCCTCAAGGGGTGGCGGCCGTCGCTGGTGGGGGAGGTCAGCAGGGCGGACGGCAGCAGCAGCAACCACCGCAGCATGGACAGCAGGGAGTGGCCAACGCGCTGAGCCAGCTCTTCCAGAACGCCGACCAGACGTACGGGCTGCAGCGCGGCGACGTAATGGGCCTGGGCGACGAGGCGTTCCCAGTCGAGCTCATCCAGGCCATCTTCCCTGTGATGGTGCGCGCGATGCTGAAGAACATACAGGGCCTCTCGGCCCTAGAAGCAGCCATCTACCACATCATCCACTTGGATCGAGACCACGACGTGTGCAAGGCCATGAGGATCACAGCCAAGTTCTATGTCGACGAGGCCAATCGCAGTCGCCGCGAGCACGCTCAAGAGATCCGGGACCAACAGCCAGTGGAGGACTTGGAGAAACTGGGCGTGCCACACCCCCACCTGTGGCTGGCGCTAGTGGGCGGAGTGGTGCAACAGGGGGAACGCGTCGGAGCCGCCAATCATCTCGCCCTGAAGCAGTACCTCGACACCATCAAAGCAGATGGAACCATCACGAACGACAGCCTGTGCATGCAGATCCGACACTGCAAGATATCGTACACTCACGATCGCAAGCTGATGAAGATTCATCTCGAGGCGCAGGGATCAGGCGTGCAGACACAGTTGCTCGACTCCTTGAAGCAGCTCGGGGGAAAGCTCATGAAGGGAACGCCACCTCGCTCGCATCACGAGCGCCTGATGCAGCTCTTCCTGGACAGCGCAGAGACGATCTAGATGTTGCTTCGACGTCATCGACTACTCCACAGAGTGGCAGCTCTGCTGCGCAGATAGCTACGGGTGGAGGGACGGCGACCTTGGCACCTCCACAGAGTGGCAGCACCGCTTCGCAGACAGCTACTGGTAGAGGAGCGGCGACTTTGACGGCACCTCCCTGTGGCAGCACCGCTTCGCAGACAGCTACTCCCTCTGCTGCGAGTTCGATAGGCCTGGGAGGAGGTGAGAGGGCGACAGTGATACAGTCGAATTCTCAAGTAGTAGTTCCGCCGCAGGCGGCGGGAACCCTTCCTCCCCCTCCTCGTCCTCCTCCTCGCTCGAGCCCTCCTCGTCTCACTTCCTCCTCCAGCTTGAATGCCAGCATCTTGAGGTTGATCGGGGCTGCCCCCAGGAAATATCAGTAGCCTGACTCTGTTCAGGCGGCTTATTGCCCTTTCGCGCCCTCTTATTGGTGGGCGCCAGTGTTTGCGTTCTTTTCTGGCGTTGTTTGGTCCTGGGGCCCCTGGTCTGCGGTGTTTAACTGGACCCTGGGTGCTGGCTGCCCCTCGTCTTTTAGACTTTTCGACTTAATTAGGGTTCCCGCCCGCCTCAGTTTTTCTCGATGGTAGTCCCCCGAAGAATTTTGTGGAGCTCAGCCCGCTTCTGGCCACAGGGATATGTCCGTTCTGTGAGTCGAGGAGCGCGTGAGCCCCCCCACGTGCTAAGTCACCGCATATCATGCGCACTCGAGGAACCAGAGCTAACTTTTTGTTTTCAGTTTCGGCCGAACTCAGACTCGCGTTCCTGATGAGCCCGCCGCCGCCTCCTCCTCCTCCTCCTCCTCCTCCTCCTCCTCCTCCTCCTCCTCCTCCTCCTCCTCTCCTCCTCCCTCTCCTCCTCCTCTCTCCTCCTCCCCCTCCTCCTCCTCTCCTCCTCTCTCCTCCTACTCCTCCTCCTCCTCCTCCTCCTCCTCATCCTCCTCCTCCTCCTCCTCCTCCTCCTCCTCCTCCTCCTCCTCCTCCTCCTCTCCTCCTCTCTCCTCCTCCTCCTCCTCCTCCTCCTCTCCTCCTCCTCCTCCTCCTGCTGCCTCTCCTCCTCCTCCTCCTCGTCAGATGGTGGAGTCGGCGCCAAAGGGCAGGCAATACGAGTCGGTGGGCAGGCGGTGCACATCGATGCTGTCGATTCCCTCGGTCGCAGGCACAGTGGGCAGGCGGTTCACATCGATGCTGTTGGCTCCAGACAGAGTGGGCAGGCGATGCATATCGATGCTGTCGGTCATCTCGGCTGCAGACGGGGCGATCAGGCGGTGCGAGTCCGCCGTGTTTGACAGGGTGGGCAGGCACCGCATGTCGATGCTGTCGACCCTGTCGATGTTGTCGCGGGGCGATAGGGAGAGGCCGATGGGCTCCTCGTGCCAGTCCGTCAGGCTCCTCGTGCTCCGCACACGCCGCACGACGCCTGCCTTGGTGGCCGCAGACAGGGTGGGCAGCCAATGCAGGTCGATGCTGTCGATCCCCTCGACGCTGTCGGTCCCCTCGACGCTGTCGAACTGGGGCGTCTCCGTCCGGCTCGTCAGGGTCCTCGTCATCCGCATGACGCCCGCCTTCTCCTGTAAAGGAAAAAAGCGGGCATAAACATAAACTAGAACCACGCGCGCACTACGCGCGCTTGGGCTCTAATTGACTCTGGAATCGCATTGAAGAAATATGAGCCCCCAGACGCAAGAAGAGAGGCCCCAGGATACTAGAATATCCGACTCGCCTTGCCCAGCATCCTCCTCGCCAAGTATCCTACTCCTCCTCCTCCTCCTCCTCCTCCTCCTCCTCCTCCTCGCCGTGTCTTACTCGGACTGGCAGCCAAGATCATTCTCTTGGAGGCCTCTCAAGGGAAACACGAGAAAATGCTGGAGAACTTCCTGCTCGAATGACGGGCGACGACGATCAGGTTTTCAGAAGGCTCTGCGGGAACCTGAAACTCGCGCCAGTGTGTGAGCCCTCGTGGAGGTCTGTGAGCCCCTTTCGGTGTGTCGGGGCCCATTTGAAATACTGGAGAACCTCCTGCTCCGATGAGGGGCGACGAGAATCACGTTCCCGGAAGGCTTTCACCGTCGTGGAGGCCTCTGTAGGGCCTTGTCGGGGTGTCGAGGCTCAATTGGGACGCCTTTTGAGGCTTCTCGGCCGCGTGTAGAACTCCGTTGGAGTGTCATGGTCAGGAAGCGGAGCAGATGACCAACTACGAAGCACTGAAAATGGCAGAAAATCTTTGATCCCTCATCATTGCGGCTCTCTCGCAGGGCAGTTTGGAACTTTCTTCGGGCGTCTTGAATGCCTCGTGGGCAGCGTGGAAGCTTTGGTGGGCGTGCTGGGGCCGTTTGGAACCCTGCAGGCAATCTTTACGGCCCTCTTGGCGTGTCCAGGCTCATTCGGAGAGCCGCCTTGAGCCCTTTTGGACCATCTTGGGTTTCTATTGGGCCCCTTAGGCGCCGCCTTGGGGCGCGTTGGAGCCCTCGTGCACGCCTCGTGTGCAGTCTCCGAGCGTCGGGAAGCGGAGCAGGCGACCACGCGAGAATCAACGAGAAACAAATGGAAAATCTGTGACTTTTTGCCTATTGGGGCTGTTTCAGGAAGCAATTTAGAGCCCTCTAGGGCCGTCTTGGATGCCGCGTGGGCCGGATCGGAGCGCTGGTGGGCGTGCTGGGGCCGATTTGGGGGCACTGTGGGCGTCCTTAAGGGCCCTGTGGCATGCCTAAGCTCATGTGGCGGGCCGCCCGGAGCCCGCCTTGTGGGCCGTCTTGGCGCCCTCTTGGGGTGTCTTGGGGCCGTCTTGTTCGCATCTTGTGCCGTCTCCGGGCGTCGGGCAGCGGAGCAGGCGGCCACACGCAAATCCTTGAAAAACCCACGGGACATCAATGATTTTCGCCCTTGGAGCCTCTCTCGGGTCGAAGCTCTCTTGGGGCGTCTTGGAGGCCACGTGCGCCGTCTCCGAGCAATGGTCGGCGTGCTGGGAGCGCTGTGGCGTTTTCTGGCCCTCTTGAGGGCCCCTTTCGGTGGTAGTAAGGCCACCTTGAGGGCCTTTTTGGCGGGCGGAGGCTCGTTTGGCCCCCCATGCCACACTTAGGCACCGGTCCTGCCCGCACACCCAGGGCCTACCCATATGTCTATATACACACATTTGTTTATCTCTCTCTCTCTCTCTATATATATATATATATGTATATAAAAAATAAATGTATGTATGCATGTATGTATGCATGCATGCATGTATGTCTGTATGTATATATGCATGTATGTATGTATGTATGCATGCATGGATGGATGGATGGATTGATGGATGTATACACGTATGGGTATACATGTGAGCACAGGATGGTATGCATGTGTGTATTTATGCTTTTATGTAAGTATGCATGTCTGTCTGTCTGTGTGTCTGTCTGTCTGTCTGTCTGTCTGTCTGCCTGCCTGCCTGTCTGTATGATTTTATGTACATGTATGTATGTGTATATATGCATGCATATATTTATATATATATATATATATACAGATGTATACTAGAACCATCGCGCGCGCTTCGCGCGCGCTCAGGTTCTAATTGAGGTCACCGCTCAGGTGCGATGCCCGCGACACGGAACGTGCCCCACTGAGAGTTCCACGTACGGCGCCACAGGAAGGATTCGCATAGCGTCCTCCCGCATAAAACGGCGCACACCTTAAACGAATCTTGCCCCACAGGGTGCTGAAAAGTCGGCCCCAGAGACAAGGGTCGCTGCCGCTCCACCCATTGACAGAGACAAAGAAAACCTGTGCCAATCAGGCGGCGTCCCAGGAACGGTCTCAGGTTTTTGGACCGGAGGCCGCATGCAGACGTACATGAAGGTTTCCGGGGAAGCCTCTCAGAAGCCCGTTGGGGCCCTCTTGGGGGTCTCCTGGGGGCTTCCTGGGAACCTCGGGGGGCCTCTTGGAAGCCTCTTGGGGGGGCCTCTGAAGGCCCTTGGGGGCCTGCCGCAGGCGTCTTGGGGGCCTCTTTGGGCCTCTTGGGGGTCTCTTAGGGGCCTCTTGGGGGCCTCCTGGGGCGGGGGGGCTGGAAGGTTCAGTTGGGTGTCCCGTCTTGGGCCCCTCTTGGGGCCCTTCGGGGATGCGTTTGGGCCGTCCTGGGCGCCTCTTGGACTGTCCTGGGCCCCGTCCTGGGCGCCTCTTGGACTGTCCTGGGCCCCTCTGGGGCCGTCTTGGGGCTCGCTTGTGGGCTTCGTGGGCCGTCTTGGGGCGGTCTATGGAAAGTCGGAGGTCGTAAAGGACGGTACGAAGGCCAAAAATCGAGTATTGTAAAAATGTACGTTTTACGAAGGGAACGGGGCTATTTTTGCTTCCCGGGGCCGTCTGGGGGGATCTCTTGGACGGGTCTTCGAGCGTCTGGGAAGCGTCTGGGGCGATTCGAGATTCGAGACGCCTCTTGAGCCGCCGGAGACCGCTGGGGGTCGCCTGGACGGCCGTCTGGGCGCTCCAAGGGCCGACCTGGGGCCCGGGGGCCGACCCGGGGCCCGCCGAGAAGCGGGCTGGGCCCGACGTCCCCCCATTTGTGGTCGGGGCTGCGGCCCCGGGGCCCCCGGGCCCGGTGCGGCGTTATATGTGTGTGTGTGTGTGTGTGTGTATATATATATATATATATATATATATATATATATATATATGAGGTCCGCGCGGATTTGAATTTCTTGGATCGGCGCGTGAGCCCCCAACCTGGGGCGCGGAGCGCACCAGAGGTGCCGCCAGGGAAGGCCCGACGCCCGCCCGGGGAACCCGCGCGGACCTCCGAGAAACGCTGCCCGTGCCGCTTTTCGTTGCTCGATCCTCGTCCGACGCCTCGTGCCGGAGGTGCTGCCGCTCGAGGTGGCTGGCCTTCTCCTTTCGGATACACGTAATTGGCGGCGAGCGAGGGGGGGAAATAAGAAGGAGAAGGCCCTCTCGGAAGGCGGCAGAACTTCTCAGAAGCCCTCGCGCCTTCTGAGAAGTTTACGGTGTCTTCGGGGACGGCATAGAAAACTTCTCAGAAGGCCCAGGGACTTCCGAGCCTTCTGAGAAGGCCCGCCCCTTCTCACTTCCCCCCCGGGCTCGCCGCCGACGTAAGAGTGACCCTAGGCAAGAGTGACCTTTCGTGCGCGGATTAAGGGGGCGCTACGTGGCCAAAGCCAAGCACGCAAGCAGCCACGAACGCATCGCGCTCAGCAATCGAGGGAACCCCAGTGAGCCTGCACCAAAGGTCACTCCGGCGAAAGGTCACTCTTACGCGTAATCGATCCTTGTCGGCCAGGTGCGACTGGAGCCGGCCCATGACCTTGCCGAAGAGGGGCTTCCGCTGCTCGCCAGACGGGGTGGTGTAGACGAACTGTTCGGGGAAGAGCTCGTCCCGCCGCGCCGCGAGGAGGTCGTGAATGCGGCGGTGGCGCTCGTCCTTTTCCCGGAGCAGGTACGCCTCGTTTTTTGCTGTTTGGGGATGTGCTGCATGGCGGTAGGCACGTTGTATCCTAAGCGGTTCTTGTGGGCAGGGCCGCGTCCTCGCGCTTAGCACTTCTACTTCCTCCGCCTCGTCGCCGCGTGCAAGGCCGCCACCGACAGAAGCGTATTTTGTTTGGCGTGTTGAACTCTCTTTCTGAAGCAGACGGTACCACCGTGCCCTTGGCACGAAGTGGACTGCCCCGAGGCTCACAGCTGTGCTGCTGCTGCTGCTGCTGCTGCTGCCAGGGATCTAGATTCTTAAGAGCCCGGACCCCCAGTTTTAGGTCGGGCGTGTCCCCCTACAGGCGGATTTTGGGCGAAAAATAAAAAAACTCAAAAAAATACCCCCAAAGAGTCAAACAATAAGCAAAACACGTCCCTAGACTATTTCTGTATTATTTGTCGAACATTCCTCCTGTAGAGGGACAGGCCCGACTTAACCCCAGTCTCCCAGCGGCTCCTTGGAACTCTTGGGAATTTCCAGGAGCTCTTGGGGTGAGTCGCGTGCGTCTTCTGGAAGTCAGGAGGGTCCCAAGACGGGCCCCGAAGGAAGGAGGGGGCCGCGAAGACGGCCCAAGAGAGCCTCGAGTCGCCTCGAAGACGCCCCAAGAGGCCTCCAACAAGGCGAAAGTGAGCACCAAGAGCGCCCCCAAGACAACCCCGAGAGGCCCAAGTCGCCCTAAGTTCTCAGGATTTGTTTTGCCTATTCACTTGATCGGGCTTCACGAGATTCCAGCCAGCCCTAGAAGCCTCCAATATCGTCACGAGACAGCAGCCCAGGAGGGCCCCAAGCGGCCCCCCCAAGGGCCCCACGACGACCCAAGAGGGACCCAAGACGGCCCAATGGGCTCCTACAGGGCTACAAATTCTAGCGTTGGCGATAAATACTAGTATTCACGATTACGGATACTAATACTTGAAGGGGAACTGGGACACACAAATAAATAGACACAAATAAAAATATTCCCCATATTTTCCCATATGTTCTGGGTTTCTGCCTTCCCCCCCACTTCCCATGTTTTCCTATATTTTCTGGGGAATCGAGGATTAATTGTGTCTGTGTGGGCTTCTTTTTCTCCTGAATACTGCTACAGTCGAACCTGGGACAGCAGGACACCCCTCAAGAACATGAGACCCTCCGCCAGTGAAAATGAAGAACTTTCGAGGGTACCCTCCACCAGGATGCACAAGAACATCCCGCAAGCACGAAGGACATCAGGGTGCCTTCCCCGAACCGACCTCGATCTTACACCTCGGTCGGACTGTGTGGCTAACGGTGCGACTACGGTGAGGTCGGGCACGTCCTCCTACAGGCAGGTTTTGGAAGCAAAATAAGACACAGTCAAACGATGATCAGAAATAGTCAGTGGAGCACGAAGCATTGCCACCATACAGTCGGACTTGATTGGACAGGACACGCGAGAGGACACAAGACCCTTCAGGCTGCCACACAGCCACAGGAATGCAGGAGGCATGGGTTGCGAGACGCAGGTCGCGAGGGTACCCTTCATTTGGCAGGGTCGACCTACTAATCAGGGTCGACTGTACTATGTTTTGGACGCCCGAAGTGGGTACGGAAAAAATGGGTACAATGCCCAACAACAAATGTTGTCCCAAACCAACAGCGGCCGCTGTTGGGCAGGCGGCCTTCTGTCTCAAGTGGACGCAGGCCGCGGCGGCGCGGACAGCGAAGTCTGTTACAAAATGAACAGGAACTGCTGTTGGGCATCGTGCCCACTCTTTCGGTACCCAAGGCATGAACGATTCTTGCCCCGGTGCCGGCGCCGGTGCTGGTGCCGGTGCCGGTGCCGGTGCCGTTGCCGGTGCCGGTGCCGGCGCCGGTGCCGGTGCCGGTGCCGGTGCTGGTGCCGGTGCTGGTGCCGGTGCCGGTGCCAGTGCCGGTGCCGGTGCCGGTGCCGGTGCCGGTGCCGGTGCCGGTGCCGGTGCCGGTGCCGGTGGCCGGTGCCGGTGGCCGGTAGCCGGCCAGTGCCGGGGCCGGTGCCGGTGCCGGCGCTGGTGCTGGTGGCCGGTGCTGGTGCGGGTTCTTGTTTTCCCAGAACATCCTCTCCTTCTCCCTCCCGCCTCCCGCCTCCCAGTGCCCCTCCCGCCCCTCCAGGGAGGCCCCGCCTGAGCGAGGAGGGTAACGGAAACCCATGTTATTTACATGGTTTCGTGCCCTTCCCACCTCTCCAGGGAAGCCCCGCCTGAGCGAGGAGGGTATCCCGCCCCTCCAGGGAGGCCCCGCCTGAGCGAGGAGGGTATCGGAAACCCAACTATTTACATGGTTTTGTGCCCCTCCCACCCCTCCAGGGAGGCCCCGTCTGAGCGAGGAGGGTATCGGAAACCCATACTATTTACATGGTTTCGTGCCCCTCCCTCCCCTCCAGGGAGGCCCCGCCTGAGCGAGGAGGGTATCGGGAACCCGTACTATTTACATGGTTTCGTGCCCTTCCCACCTCTCCATGGAGGCCCTGCCTGAGCGAGGAGGGTATCGGAAACCCATACTATTTACATGGTTTCGTGCCCTTTCCACCTCTCCAGGGAGCCCCGCCTGAGCGAGGAGGGTATCGGAAACCCATACTATTTACATGGTTTCGTGCCCTTCCCACCTCTCCAAGGAGGCCCCGCCTGAGCGAGGAGGGTATCGGAAACCATGTTATTTACATGGTTTCGTGCCCCTCCCACCCCTCCAGGGAAGCCCCGCCTGAGCGAGGAGGGTATCCCGCCCCTCCAGGGAGGCCCCGCCTGAGCGAGGAGGGTATCGGAAACCGAAACTACTATTTACATGGTTTCGTGCCCCTCCCACCCCTCCAGGGAGGCCCCGTCTGAGCGAGGAGGGTATCGGAAACCCATACTATTTACATGGTTTCGTGCCCCTCCCTCCCCTCCAGGGAGGCCCCGCCTGAGCGAGGAGGGAATCGGGAACCCGTACTATTTACATGGTTTCGTGCCCTTCCCACCTCTCCATGGAGGCCCTGCCTGAGCGAGGAGGGTATCGGAAATTAATAAAGATTACATGGTTTCGTGCTCCTCCCACCCCTCCAGGGAGGCCCCGCCTGAGCGAGGAGGGTATCGGAAACCCATACTATTTACATGGTTTCGTGCCCTTCCCACCTCTCCAGGGAGCCCCGCCTGAGCGAGGAGGGTATCGGAAACCCATACTATTTACATGGTTTCGTACCCTTCCCACCTCTCCAAGGAGGCCCCGCCTGAGCGAGGAGGGTATCGGAAACCCATGCTATTTACATGGTTTCGTGCCCCTCCCACCCCTCCAGGGAGGCCCCGCCTGAGCGAGGAGGGTATCGGAAACCCATGCTATTTACATGGTTTCGTGCCCCTACCACCTCTCCAGGGAGGCCCCGTCTGAGCGAGGAGGGTATCGGAAACCCATACTATTTAAATGGTTTCGTGCCCCTCCCACTGACATGGGTGAGGAGGAGGGGAGAACATTACCTATCCATCTCACGTCCTACTCCTCCCACTGAGGAGGGTGAGGAGGAGGGGGAGTTCTGCGATGAGGAAGGCTTCATCATGATGCTAGTGATGACGATGGTTATACTGCTGTTCACAATGACGATGCCGGTGGCGATAATGGTGATGGACAATGACGATGGCGATAACGGTGATTATGATGATGATGCTGATGATGATGACGATGATGATGATGATGACGATGACGATGATGACAACGATGGCGACGACGACGAGGATGATGATGCAGATGCTGGTGATGATGACGATGATGCTGCTGATGCTGACGTTGCTGGTGCTGTTGATGATGACGATGATGATGCTGATGTTCATGACGTCCACGATGATGCGGACGATGACGATGTCAAGGACGGTGATGGTGATGATGATGGCGATGCTGATGATGATGATGATGATGATGATGATGACGATGGTGGCGACGACGATGATGATGACGATGACGCTGGCGATGATGATGATGATGATGATGATGCTGATAATGATGATGAAGATGATGATGATGGTTATGATGATGCCGATGATGCTGACGATGATGATGATGTTGATGATGTTGATACTGATGATGATGACGATGATGCCGATGATGACGACGACGACGGGGTGACGACGATGCTGCTGATGATTCTGATGATGACGACGATGATGCTGGTGATGATGATGATGATGATGATGATGATGATGATGATGATGCCGAGGATGAGGAGGACGAGGAGGAGCAGGACGACGAGGAGGAGGAGGAGGACTCGCTTGAACGAGGAGGGTCGCGGACAGCATTACTCTTTACCAGGTTTCGTAGGCCTCCCCCCTTCCAGCGGGGCCCCGCCAGAGCGAAGAGGGTATCAAGAACCCGTACTATTTACAAGGCTTCGTTTCCTGAGCACCTGTCCTCCCTCCTCCTTTCTTTCGTCTGCCCTTTCGTGCGTACTTACTCGCTCGATGAGCTTCTCCTTCGTGTTGATGTTGTCGTACCCCATGGGTCCCACGAAACTGTTAATATCTTTATGTGGGGAACTCCGTTTGCATAATTTTACCATTGATTGGACTGCAATCGATTCCACTGGGTTTGCACTTGATTGGCTTGCAACCGATTGGATTGCAACCGCTGGGGGGGCCCACAGGGCAGCGACGAGGAGGCGGCGACGGGACGGTGACGGCGAGCAAGGAACCGCCAGACCGACCCTCAGGCCAAGACGACGGGCGGCGACGACGCGGCAAGGGGGGGCGACGGCAAGGACGGAAAAACCAGACCGCCCCTCAAGCCCAGACGACGGGCGGCGACAGGGCGGCAACGGCGTGGAGAGAGCCGCCAGACCGCCCCTCAGACCCAGCTACTAGGAAAGAGAGAAGGCCCCCTAAGTGCAAGCACTGTTTGGGAAATGTCATAATGTTCAATGTCAATGATGTTTTTCATCCGGTGTCAGTGCTGGCGCCGGCGCCGGTGCCGGTGCCGGTGCCTATGCCGGTGCCAGTGCTGGTGCCGGTGCCAGTGCTGGTGCCGGTGCGGTTGCGGGTGCGGGTGCCAGTGCCGGTGCTGGCGCCGGCGACAACGACGGCGCTGGTGCCCGTGCCGGTGCCCATGCCAATGCCGGCGCAAGCGCCGGTGCCGGTGCCGGTGCCGGTGCCGGTGCCGGTGCTGGTGGGCGAGAATCGTTCTATAGTGCGGTACCCATGTCGTTCGTGCCGATGTGTTGATATTCTTGGGCAGTCCTCCGGCGAGGGTACACTTCATTTGGCAGGGTCGACCTACCAATCAGGGTCGACTGTACTATGTGTTCCTATTCTTGGGCAGCCCTCCGGCAGAAGGACACGCCCGACTGGAGACAACGGGGCCGGAGGGACGGCGGCAGCCCGCGGGGCACCCGGGGGCCGGAGGGCGCTGCTGTCCACGGAGGCTCGTCGCCGCCGCATGGGGGGGGGGGGCCGTCCGCAGGGCCGCGGGGGGGGCGGCGTCGCACCGCGGGCGCCGGCAAGAGGCCCCACGAGGCCATGAGCAAGCGTGCCTCCTCCACCCAGGGGAGGAGGGACCGCAGAGCGGGCGCGAAGGAGAACGGGGGGCGACAACAAAGTGGGCCTTCGCGGGCCCGAGAGGCCCCCTCTTTTTGCTGGGCTCTAAAAGCCCCTCGAAGGGCCCCTTTCTGCAGCCCTCGCTGCCCCCCCCCCCCCCCGTTCCTCGCCCCCCCCCTTCTGCGTCCTCCGACGCAGAACGTGCGGCCCCGTACCCGGGGCTGGAGGTGTCCGCCTTGCTGAGTTGTCGCCTCTGAAGAAAGATTGCCGCTACTCCCTCCCCCAGCGGTGCCCAGGATGTTCTTTCAATGGAAGTGCCCCTCCCGGGGCTCGCCCCGTGCTTTTCACAGTGTGAAGTCCTGGGCTTCAGGATGCGTCGTTGGCCCCTCAACTACGACAACAACGGCTCCCACCAGGCACGTCCTCACAGTTTAGCCGACATCGCGCTCTCCCGCGGGACATCCTCACAACTAATGCAAGATCGCGCTCTCGCCTGGGACATCCGAACAATTCAATGAGACGCCGCGCCCCCAACATTCAGGAATCACGCTCCCGCTCTCGATGTCTCACGATTTACTATGGAATCGCGCTGGCGCTCAAGACCTCCTCGCGGTTCACGCAGGACTGACGCTTCAGCGGCCTGCTCGTCCGACCCCGCGTCTGGGCCCGCCCGTCCGACCCGCCCCGTCCGACCCGCCCGACTGATTCTGCCACTTTCTTTTCTGCTCCTAACCCCCCCTCCTGCAAATCTCTCTCTCTCTCTCTCTCTCTCTTTCCCTCGCTTGCTCAATCCTTCTCTCTCTCCGTTGTCCCTTCCCTCCGCCCTTCCCCTGTTTTAGGGGCTGCGCTAACTACACGTGGCAGGTCAGGAAGCTATACCCTCGAGGAGGGTACGATCGAAGACGAAGAGGGCGGAGATTGATGGCTTGGGATATACATGTTGAGCGACACGCGAGCACATAGGAACGAACAACATTGAAATGGTTGTTGTTGCTTGTGTTGTTATTGCGGTTTCGGTTGGTGGTTGATGTCGTCTTGTTAATATTGCGACTATGATTCATTTGAGCGGGGGGGCCTCAGCGTACAGGCCCAGCATCGGCTGCACCAAGCTCTGGCGGTCGCACCGCTCCATGCCGTGGTGCCGCAGGCGGCAGCACGTCATCTCGCCCTGGAAGACACCCATGTGCGTCGTGGCCGACGCCTCTGGGGGGCGAAGAGGCAGCATGCGCATTACCTACGTCGACCCGCAAATTTAATGCACGGACCGCATAAAAAAACAATGGCAACATCAACAACAACCACATCGACCAAGCTGACAGAAACCTCGGAACACGCAATCCTTCTGACTGGTTCGTAGCCCCTTTTGCTAAATCATAGTTGGCGAATCAACACGAACAAACTGCATAAACACAAGCTTCGGAGCTCCACGCGGATTGCACGGATCGGCGCTGGAGCCCCCCACCCTTCGACGCGGGGAGCGTGCCAGGAGCGGTGCCGGAGGCGCCGGCAAGTGGGGGGGGGGGCCTCAGCGCAGATCCGAGAGATGTCAGACAAATCATGCGAATGCAGCTTTTTCCTCCCCTAGGTCATCTGACTTCGCGCATCGCGCTCCGCGATGCGAAGCGCGCGATGATCTTCGCGCTCCCGCGCCCTCGCGGGGCCGCCGCTGGCCCAGGCAGCGGCGCGCGCAGCGAGGTCATCTCCGCCCCCCCCCCGCGCGGGTGGTCACGCTCCCTCGAGCCTCGTCGAGTGCGGTCAGCTCCGCCGTGGTCGACCCCGCGGTCGCGCCGTCCATCGGCCCCCTGGCGAGGAACATGTCGCCGCAGCCGTTGCGGATGTAGCAGCTGAGCTGCTCGGCCCGGCACCAGGCCCGGCGGAAGTAGGTGTCGGGGCCGAGGACCTGCTGGGTCTGCGTGTGGGCGATCTCCGGCGCCACGATGATGAACGCGTCGCAGGCAGAGGCGTAGACGGGGAGCGAGTTGATCGCCAGCTGCTGGATCCCCGGGTGGCCCTGGGGCACGCACGTGTAGTCGACCCAGTAGAAGGTCTGCTCCTCCGTCCAGCCCTTCTTCTGCATGATCTCCCTCAGGCTCCAGACCATGTAGGCGTACTGGGCGCCCGTCGGGTCTGGATGGTGGAAGTCCGTCCACTGGTGCGAGAAGAAGACGACCCGATTCCCCATCTCCTTGAAGACGCTGAGGTTGAAGGAACAAAAAGCAGCACACGCGTCAACTTTCGGAGGCCCGCGCGGGTTTCTCGGATCGGCGCCGGGCGCCCCTCCCCTGGCGCGCTCCGCGCGCCGGGAGCGGCGCCGGAGGCGCCGCTGCCAAATGCGGGGGCCCCAGTGCCGATCCGAGAAACATCCGCGCGGGACTTCGAAAGTTTGTGCTTGCACCGCTGTCTCTTCCTCGAGCTGTGTGCGACCTTCTCGAGCACCAGGTGGAAGCCGCCCTCGACGCGGTCCCGCACCTCTTCGTAGCTGCAGAGGCGCCCCGCCCCGAAGAGCGACCTCGCCGACACCAGGATGTACGGGTACTCCAGCTGCGAGGAGCTCTTCATGCACGCGTTGATGTGGCTCATGAGCACCTTCTCCTCGAGAGGAAGAAACTTGGATCCGTATCATAAGGATGCGCGGTAAGGATGCAAGAGACTTGGAGGGCCACGTTAGCGTTTTTCGAACGAGATTGGCTAGCGAGGGTCGCTAAGGATGGGCCGAATGGGGCAAGGATGCAAGGGTACCCTCGGGAAGGTTGTCCATCCTTATCACATGGGTTGACTGTAAAACTAAGCTTTCAGAGCTTCGCGCGGACTTCACGGATCGGCGCTGGCCCCCCCTCCCTGGCGCGCGGAGCGTGCCAGGGGCGGCGCTGGGGGCGCCGTCAGGAGGGCCAAGCGCCGATCCGAGAAACTCGCGCGGAGCGCCGGAAGTTCATGTTTATGGAGTTTTTTCTTCCTCGATCCTTGTAGGCCATGAGCTTGGCGAGCTGCCTCCGGATCAGCACGAAGGCGAGGAAGCCGAGCACCTCGGAGCAAGGCGAGTTGAGCCAACGACAGCTCAAAATCGGTCCCCCGACCCCTCCCAGGGTCCAAACGCCACAGCTTCCCGGGCTGCGTCCAGCTGTGACGACGAGTGCCTCCCCACCAGCTCACCCTCCTCTGAGCACCAGCGCCACGCCCAGGCTGACGATCAGGGCCGCGCCAGTAGCGTCCAAGCGGCACGCGTCCTCGCTGGTCGACCCCGCCGGGGCCGTGTGCAGGACCGCGCAGCTGATGCAATCCTGAACATCGAGGATCGAGGTTCGAGGATCGATGTTCGCTTGATCGAGCATAGAGGATCGAGGGACGTTCGAGGTTCGAGGATCGGGGTTCGCTTCTTGCTGGAGGTTCCTGATCGTCCAGGGGCGCACTCGTGGCCACGGCTGGATCCGCATCGAGATTCTGGTCAGAACGAGCCCCACGAGAGGTCCAGGGCTCGACTTTCACCCTTATCCCCACGGCGCGGCCTTGGTCCCACTGGCCGACCTACCCGCCTGGGCGGTGTGTGTGTGTGTATATATATATACACACACACACACACTAGAACTGCGCGCGCGCTTAGCGCGCGCTTAGGTTCTAGCACCCCCCAGCCCTCGACAACCATACAATTACATATACGTCCCCTGCCGCCCCGTTCCTCCGCCCTGCGGAGCCTCTGGGGGGCCTGTTCGGGGTCTCCTGGGCTCGATGGGGGCGCTTATCGGGAGCCCCTTGGGACCTCTTGGGGGCCTCTTTGGGGGCCCGTTTGAGCTGCATGAAACTCGTCCGCGCGGAAACCGTCATGTTTCGGTGTCCGTTTCCCCTCTGGGGACCCTCTGGGGGCATTCTCGGGGCCCTCTTAGGCCATCTGGGAGGCCTCTTGGGCTGCTTCGGGGGTCTCCTAGGGCACTCCGGGCGCCTGCTTGGCGGCCTCTGAGGCCATGTTGGGGCGAGCTTTGGGGCATCTGGGGCTGTTCTGGAGCGTCGGGGTGAGCTTCTGGGAGTTATGTCTCTGCGATTCGGTGCCGATTTCGGTTGTCCTGGAATTGTCTTGGGCGTCTGTGGGGCCTCTTGGGCAGTGTGGGCGCCCTCGTGGGGGCCTCTGAAACAATATTTTGGCGAGTTGTGGTGCTTCTGAGGCTGATTTGGAGCGTCGGCGAGCCGAAAATGAAGCCCGAACAACGGTCAAACACCGATGGAAAACGAATGAATTGCCCCTCTTGGGGCCCTCTTGGGAGGCCGTTCGAGAATCGTCTGGAAGCGTTCTTGGAGCGTTGCGGGCCGTCTGGAAGCCGTCGAGGAGCGAGCGCCTTAGTGGCGGTGTGTGCCATGTGGGGGCCGTCGTCATCGTCTGGGAATGACTTTCTGACGATTCGGGGCCTTCTTCGGCTGTCCTGGAGGTCTCTTGGGCAGTCTTTGATGCTTCGTGGGCAGTCTCGGCGCCCTCTTGGGGGCCTCTTATTCGGACTTGGGGTGAGCTTTTGTGCTTGTTGGGCTGCCTTGCGTCGGCACGGCGAAAAAACAGAAACACGACAAACCATCAACGACCGATGAACAACCAGCGATTTTTGGCTCTTGCGGCCCTCCTCGGGGGCGCTTTGGAACCCTCTTGGAGCGTTTTGGGGGCGCTGTGGGCTGCCTGGAAGCTTTCGTGGAGCACCTTGGGATCGTTGTGGGCCACCTGTAAGGCGTGGTGAGCGTCTGGGAATGATTTCTTAGCGATTCGTGGCCTTTGTGGGCTGTCCTGGATGGGGGCCTCTTGTACGTCTCCTTCGAGCCTTTCGGGGCCTCTTGGGAAGCTTTGGGGGCCTCTTCGGACCTCTTGGGGGCCTCTTGGGGCCTCCTGTGGGCCTCTTGGGGCGGAAGGCTCTGCTGTTGGGCTCGCGTTCCCCTTCTTGGGCCTCTCTTGGGGCCGTCTTGGGACCCTCTCTGTCCGTCTTGGGGCCCTCTTGGAGGACTCTTCGGTCATCTTGGAACGGTCTTGGGGGCCTGTTGGGCCGTCATGGAGCGTCGGGATGCCACAAGGCTGAAAACTCAAATTTCCTAAAAAACCTACAGGAAAGCAATGACTTTTGCGCCTTGCGGCCTTCTTGGGAGGCCTCTTGGGACCTCTTGGGCCTTCTGGGTAACTTCTGCCGTCTTGGAGCGTCGGGAAACTGAAAAGGCAAGAACTCGACAATCCTTCAAAAACCTACGGACAATCAGTGATGTTTGTCTCCTGGGGCCCCTTGGGAAGCATCTTGGAGGCCTCTTGATTAGGGCGTCTTGGAGGCCTCTTGGACAGTGAGGTGCTAATTCTCGGGTAATATTGGGCCGTCATAGGTCGTTCTCGCGGTCAGGAAATGCCATTTCTGGTGATCCAGGACCGTGTTCGGGCGATCTCGGCGAGCCCTCGGCGCCCTGGCAGGGACCCTGGGGCCCCTGGGCTTCCCATGCGCCACCGGGCCCCAGGCCCCCTGGGCCTCGTGCCCAGGTGTGTGTGTGTGTGTGTGTGTGTGCGTGCGTGCGTGCGTGCGTGTGTGTGTGTGTGTGTGTGTGTGTGTGTGTGTGTGTTTGTTTTATATATATATATATACATATACACCGTATTGTGTGTAAATGCCTCCTTCTTGGGGTTTCGCGGGGCCTATCTCGACCTGGGAGCGCGGGCCTGTGGGGCTGAGGTGGCCTGGCCCGGTGGGGACGGGCAGAGGCTGGACAGTGCCGAACTCCTCCGCCTCGCCGGCGAACATCCCCCTGGGGCAGATGCAGCTGCCGCGGGCCTTGCTGCCGACCGCGGGCGTGCTCCGCTCGCTGGGGCACGCCTCCAGGGGAAGGCAGACTGGCCTGAGCACACGGTTGGCGCTGGAAAGGTAGCGTGCAACATCGATCTCCCAAATGCACGCGACAGTCGGCCCGTATCACAAGGATGCGCGATCGGGATGCAAGAGACTTGGACGCCCATGTCGAAGCTTCTCGGGCGGGGCACGGCCGACGAAAGTGGCCGAGGACGGACCGCGGAGGCAAGGATGCAAGGGTACCCTTGGGAAGGCTGCCCGTCCTTACTATGCGGGTTGACTGGATCCCTGCGAGGCGATCCCCCCACGAGAGCTCCTGTTGTGCGTGCCACCCCCCTGCCAGGGCTTCTTCGGTGCACGCCATCCCCACGGTGCGGGGCAGCGTGCAAGAAAGTGCAACCAACAGGCCGACGGCGCCGCCCTGCCTCTGCAACGCCAGCCGTACACTTTCGGAGGCCCGCGCAGGTGTCTTGGGATCGGCCATGCGGAGCGCGCCAGGGACGGCGCCCGAGGCGCCGCCGGAGGGGCCCAGCGCACATCCGAGAAATCCGCGCGGACCTCCAACAATTATTATCATGCCGCTTGTGCTTCCTCGCCTCCTCCTCCTCCTCCTGCTCCTCCTGCTCCTCCTCCTCCTCCTCCTGCTCCTCCTCCTTCGCCTCCTCCTCCTCCTCCCCTTCCCCCTCCCCCTCCCCCTCCCCCTCCTCCTCCTCCTCCTCCCCCTCCTCCCTCCTCCTCCTCCTCCCTCCTCCTGCTCTCCTCCTCCTCCTCCTCCTCCTCCTCCCTCCTCCTCCTCCCCCCTCCTCCTCCTTCCCCTCCCCTCCTCCTCCCCTCCCCCTCCCCCTCCCCCTCCCCCTCCCCCCCCTCCTCCTCTCCTCCTCCTCCTCCCCTCTCCTTCGCCTCCTCCTTCGCTCCCCTCCCCCTCCCCCCTCCCCCCCCCCTCCCCCCTCCCCCCCCTCCTCCTCCACCTCCTCCTCCTCCTCCTCCGCCTCCTCCTCCTCCTCCTCCTCCTCCTCCTCCTCCTCCCCTCCTCCTCCTCCTCCCTCCTCCTCCTCCTCCTCCTCTCCTCCTCCTCCTCCTCCCCCCTCCCCCTCCCCCTCCCCCTCCCCCTCCCCCTACCCCTCCCCCTCCCCCTCCCCCCTCCCCCCCCCTCCCCCCCGACCCCCCCCCCCCCCCCCCCCCCTCCCCCTCCCCCTCCCCCTCCCCCTCCCCCTCCCCCCTCCCCTCCCCCTCCCCCTCCCCCTCCCCTCCCCCTCCCCCTCCCCTCCCCCTCCCCCTCCCCCTCCCCCCCTCCCCCCTCCCCCTCCCCCTCCCCCTCCCCCTCCCCCTACCCCCTCCCCCTCCCCCTCCCCCTCCCCTCCCCCTCCCCCTCCCCCCCCCCCCCCTCCCCCGCCTCCCCCTCCTCCTCTCCTCCTCCCTCCTCCTCCTCCTCCTCCTCCTCCTCCTCCTCCTCCTCCTCCTCCTCCTAGGTGCAAGAACACGGACGAAGTTTTCAGGAAGTGGCGGTTTGAGAGGACGGCGGACATCTTGAGAATTAGGAGACTGCGCTGGTACCAAGCGTGGGCGAAGTTCCCAGCAGACCATGGGGGTGTGTTGAGTGCGGTGTTCGGCACGTCAGGAGTAGATGACCTATTGCAAGTAGAACGTCTGAGTGAGAGTGGTAATGTAACAGCACATTCTACGCCCTGGGCCCACCAGTTCTTAGAGGACATGCGGGCTCTTGCAGAGGTGGACGAGAATACGAGAGAGTGGTTTGAACATAGAGCGAGCGACATTAGCATGTTCATTGAGGGCACGTACGAGCACACGAGATGGTTAGAGGCGGACCCGTCTATCCTCAGCAGTGCAGCTCGGCAGTGGTCCCAACCCGAAGCTCGAGCAGACCCGACCCCAGCAGAGGACGAGGAACTAGAGAAACCATTTTGGTGCGATTTTCAGGAGGAGGACGGAGACGGAGGGACGAGAACGTGTGGGGCTAGATTTCGCACGCCTGCAGCACTAGCGGCACATCGCAGGGAACATCACAAGCTTCACCCACTAATTGGAGTTCTCGTGAAAACGAACGTTTGTCCATGGTGTAGGTCCACGTTCAAAGGTAGGCGCACAGCTCTTGATCACGTTTTTCGGGCAGCAGAGGGGCACGGGCGATGCTACTTGGACTATTCGAAGTGGGGGGCACGAAGTCCAGGAACCTCCCGATTTGATATGCGGTATCTGTGGGTGTCAGGCTCAAGACCTAGACCAATACCACTACCACGCCACGGGACATCACCCAGGGCCAGAAGCGGTTGTCGTGAGAGGGAGCGTGAGAGATGCCAGAAGGACACCTACCAGAGTGGGCGAAGAAGAGGGCGGCGGCGCCAGGAAGCGGATCGGCGGCGGCGTCCTCGGGGGGAGCGGCAGGAGGAGGAGGAGCGGTACAACAGCGCAAGGAGGCACGACGAGCAGTAGGGCAGAACGACGTCGAGGCATCAGTGATAACCCTACATAAGTTAGCTTTGCGAGAGACCGCTGGCAACAGAGAGCTGAGGAATTTCATGGACGAATTTTGGCTGCTACCGTTCGATTCGCACGTATCGAGGGAGGCGCTGGCAGCGGGGCAGGATTACCAGAGGGACGTCAGAGAGGCAGGAAAAGGCCACGGTCTCCCCCCCCCCCCCCCCCCACTGTCACGTGGCGGTTCGCACGATCAAAGCAATGGCCGACACGGTAGACGAGCAGAGCCAAGTCGACCCAGACGCCAAACAAACGCTGATAGACCTGTTGGCCATAGCGAACACAAAGTACGGTATGCAGGCAATCACAGAAATATTCAAGAGCTTCAAAGCCAAGGACGCCTACAAGCACGCAGACACGGACATGGGGGATCGCAAAGTGAAGTTGTCGTACTCCCTGAACCCCTTGTCGAGCATGCGCTTAGCCCAGGCCACGGCGAAGCTCGGAGCTCAGGAAGTCCCGCCCCCTCAGATACAAATCCTCAAAATCAAAGAAGCAATGGGACTAGTTCTTTTGGAGCAGAAAGCGGAGACACCGATGGGGCCAGGACAACGGACAGAGCTCGAGAGGGTTTGCGAGAAGCAGATGAAGGGCCTACTCAGCAAGAACTAGAGGAGATGGCCAGAGTAGCATCTATTGCACGTGATCCTCGTAGACTTACAGCACTACGTAGTATGGCTATGGGCGGTCCAGGCAGGCAGGCATCACAGCATGCAGCGAGGCTTCTTAATTTGGTTGAGCGTTATCGGCAGCAGATGCGTCACCAGTTGATGCATACTACCTCTACAAGTATTTCCAGTACATAGATTCACAATAAGTTCACACATAGGGCTTTGTGAGGCATAGCATATGTAGCTATTCGGATCAAGACTTGCAATTGGTTTATTCCGTTCCGATCTGCAGCTTGCACCTCCGACAGCAGGCCAGAGATGGCCACACAGGGCAGCTCTGCCGCCCAAGACACTCGAGTATTGCCAGCAGGTTCGCCTGAGGCAGCGTACATGGAGGCAGTGTCGGAATTGTCGAGGTGCAAGTCCATTTTTGATGCCACGAACGTCATGCTCGGAGCCCAGCTCGGCATCCTCACCGACAGTCGCTGGGCTGCAGAACGCCAGTCCGAGAAACTCAGTGACCGTATTGCTGAAGTCGAGACTGACCAGGGAGCAGCAGTAGCGCGTGCAGCGGAGCTGGAGGAAATGAAGCGGGTTCGTGATGCATTGTAATCCTTTGTTGCAGTGATGGATGAGATGCGCCAGTCGTTCGATGACATTTTAGATACGAACGTGGCGCACAGCCGCTCTGGAAGGCTTGGATAGATCTCTGTCCCAGATCCAGATATATTTTTGTGAGGCTGGATATACGATGTTGCCACCAGCTCAGCGCACTCTCGAGAGCGCGACGATGGCCTGGATCCCCGATGCTGCGCACTAGAGTAACTAGTGCAGGCCCCGATCGAGTTCGGCTTTTGAGGGCGGGCGGTTCGGCCTAGTCACGGCTACTAAGGAGCTGCGTCATAATTAAGGCAACGACTCCAGAGATCCAGAGATCCAACCAGCTAGGCTCGCTGAGAAATGAGGCCTCCTGCATTGTTTGTATTGCTTGCTACCTGCTTGTTTTTTTGTCGGCAGAGCGGGGAGTGGGTGGAGGAGACGGGGGGGGAGCGGTGCAGCGAGAGAGAGCGCCCGCGGCCGCGCGTGCTGGACATGAAGTTCGGCACGCTGCGGGGGGCGCCCGTCCTCCTCTCCCCCCCTGGGGGTTAGGGCGGTCCTTCGCGTGTGCGCGTGGTGCGTGAGCGTGTGTCGGAGCGTGAGTGCGTGGTTCGCCCTACCCCCCCATCGAGAGTGGGATAGGCCCTGGTGCCACCCTGCTCCTGCGCTGGCCCCCGGTGGGGGCCAGTATGCATGGACTAGGGAGTGGCTGCGCCTCTGGCACAGGCACAGGTGCCAGGGGGACTTATCTCACCTCGTCGTCCCGCCGTCTTTTCGCGGCCGTTCCACAAGTACGAGGACGGCCGACCCGCCTGCCGCAGCCGCCGCCGCTGCCGTCGCAGCGAGTGCGGGGTGCAGGAGCGGGGGTGTACAGGGGGGGGTGCGCTCGCAGAGCGACTCGGGCAGCCTCCCCCTCCCGCTCTGTTTAGTGCCTCGGAGTATGCAGGGGACCCTCCCTTGCTGGACCTGCACCTCTCGCCTGGTTAGGACCAGGCAAGAGGGCGCAGTAGGCCTGTGACGCCAGCCCTTAGGGCCGACGAGCACAGGCGCTCATCATGAGCGTACCCGCAGGGGTGCTAGTGAGCTGCAAGTGACTGACAGCTGCACCCCCAAGCGCCGATTCCGATTCCGATTCCTCCTCCTCCCCTCCTCCTCCCCCTCCTCCTCCTCCCTCCTCCTCCTCCTCCTCCTCCTCCCCTCCTCCTCCTCCTCCTCCTCCTCCCTCCTCCTCTCCCCCTCCTCCTCCTCTCCCCCTCCTCCTCCCCCCTCCTCCTCTCCTCCTCCTCCTCCTCCTCCTCTCCTCCTCCCCTTCTCCTCCCTCCCTCCTCCCTACTCCCCCTCCTCCCCTCCTCCTACTCCCCTCCTCCTCCTCCCTCCCCTCCTCCTCCTCAACCTCCTCCTCCTCCTCCTCCTCCTCCTCCTCCTCCTCCTCCTCCTCCTCCTCCTCCGCCTCCTCCTCCTCCTCCTCCTCCTCCTCCTGGCGCGGACCTCCTGCCGCTTGTGCTCCCTCGAGCCTCGCAGGCCACCGCGCCGGCCTCCGCCGCGAACAGGCCCAGGCCGCACTCCTCGCAGGCCATGCCAAAGGGGGGGGGTCACCGCTGGCGGGGCCGCCGCCTTCTCGAGGAAGCGCGATTTGCCCGAGGAAGCGGAGCCCCCAGGAAGCGCGATCTCCTGGAGGAAGCGCCGCTTCCACGAGGAAGCGCTACATTTCCACGAGGAAGCGCGACTTCCTCGAGAACCCCCCTGAAGGCTCCAGGAGCACCCCCGAAATTTCACCAGACGTCCAAAAGAAACTCCTCGAGGAAACGATACAGTCGGCCCGTATCATAAGGATGCGCGATAAGAATACAAGGGCCACGTCCGTGCCCCGGGGCCCTCAATACCAACGGGTCCAGGGCGACACGCAGTACAGTCAACCCGTATAGTAAGAACGTGTGGTAAGGACGCATGGGCCTTGGAAGGCCCTGTCGACACTTTTCGAGCGGGGCGCGGCCAACGAGAGTGGCCAAGGATGGACTGAGGAGGCAAGGATGCGGGGGTACCCTTAGGGAAGGCTGTCCGTCCCTGCCGTGCGGGTCGACCGCATTTCCCCGAGGACGTGGAGCCCCCCGGAAGACTCCAGGAGCCCCCCCCGAGAGTCAACCAGACGCCCAGACGAAAAAACTCCTCGACCATTCGGCCCTGGAGCCTCGGCTTTGAAGGGGCCCTGGGACACACAAACAACTACACACAAATAACAGGATTCCCCATATTTTCCCATATTTTCTGGGTTTTTGTCTTCCCCCCCACTTCCCATATTTTCCCATATTTTCCTGGGAGTCGACGATTCATTGTGTCTCTTGTTTTTTTTCCCCTCCTGAGGCTTCCAGGAGGATATGGCGCTCGGGTCCCAACTCGGCTCTCCAGCCGCTGCTTTAGAGACGACCCGAGGCCTGGGCACCCCGGGAGCGTCCTCGGCGAGGCGCGGCTGCCAGAGGGGCACCCCGAGGCCAGAAGGCCCCCGAGAGGCAGCAGAGAACGCCCGCAGACGCCCCAGTTGTGCCTCCCCCTCCCCCCCAGGGGGGGGCGTCCAAGACGGGGGCGTCCAAGAGGGGGGGGTGGGGGGCGCAAAGGCCAGCGACGCAACTGGAAACAACAGGCGGCGCCATGCAATCTGGGGAGATACCATGGCCCCCGCCATGAGATCCCCCCCCCCCCCCTGGCCCTGGCCACCACCCATCACCCCCCCTGGCACTGGTCACCACCCATCACCCCCCCTGGTCATCACCCATCACCCATCACTTAGAAATCTGGGGAGATACCATGGCCCCCGCCATGCGATCCCCCCCCCCGGCCCTGGCCGCCCCCCAGCACCCCCCTCTTGGCCGCCCCCGGCCCTTGGCGCTGCCCGATCCTCGCAGGCCCCGCCCGCCGCGGAGAAGGACCCCGGGGGGCACGGCGAGCAGACCGGGGCGGCCGCGCCGCTGTACGTCCCGGGCGCGCACGGCGCGCACTCCGCCGCGCCGAAGGCGGCGGCGAAGGTCCCTGGCGAGGGGGAGCCGACAGGGAAGCCGGGTCACCTCGCTTCGCGCAGCGCGCCCCCGCGGTGCGCGACGCGCGAGGGTCCTGGGGCCACTCACGCCCTCGAGTTGGTGTCTTGGAGACTGGCAGCCGCTCCCAGAGCTCGATGCGCCGAGCGCGGTCATCTTCGCGCCCCCGCGGGTGACCCAGGGAAGGGGCGCTCGAGGTCCTCGAGGATGGAAGAGGGGGCGTTTCAGGCTCGAGGATCGAGGTCCGCTTGCTGGAGGTTTCTGCTCGTCCTGGGGCACCCTCGCTGCCACGGCTGGATCCGCCTCTAGGGGGCCACATGCAAACCCGACCCCTCCCCCTCAGAAATCGTGGGGGGCAGGGGTCGGGTTCGCATGTGGCCCCCTAGCCTCGAGATTCTGGTCAGGACGCGCCCCACGAGAGGTCCCAGGGGGTCCTACGACAGGGCTCCGAGGTCCCGAGGCCCCAGGTTGTCGGCCGTTGTCTCTGGTCCTCGGCGGCCCTCCAACCTCGCCTCGCGGTCCTCTGGTCTCGGTCCTTCGGACGTTCTCTGGTCCTTCGGACGTTCGCTGGTCTCGGTCCTCGGCGGCTCCCCTCTGGTCCAGGAGCTGCGCCTCGCCGAGCGTGCTCTGGGGGTGACCGGAGCGTCCCGAGAACCACCTAAGGGCCACCTCCGCCCGCAAAGTGAGCGGCGGGCGAGGGCGAGGGCGACGCGCCGAAGGACGGCCAAGGGCGCCCTCGTAGCCCGCGTCCTTGGAGCTGCCCCCCCAGAGGAGAGCCCCGCCGCGCAGCCCAGGGACGGCGCCCGCCCCAAGGGTACCCTGAGAGGCTGGCCAGTGACGACGGCAAAGGACGGGCCGCAGAGGCAAGGACACAAGGGTACCCTAGATGAGGGCGCGCGTCCTCACTGGGTGCGTTGACTGTCGGCCCAGGGGATCAGTCGGCATCGGATCTGAGGAGACAGACAGGTGCCGATACTGCTACTCCCCAGACCTCTCCCGGGGTGCGTTCTGACTTGTATTTCGAAGCGAACTCAGCGGTGTAGACGAGGGCCTCCCAGGAGGCCCCAAAAAGGGAAAACCAGGCAAGGGTTGGAGGAGGAGGAGGAGGAGGAGGAGGAGGAGG